CCCCTAACCTCCAAATGTAGCTCCTATCCCCTACTGCAGCCCCTGTTCCACCACTTCAGGTCCTTTGTCCAATAGTAGCCATCCCTCCACTACAGCCCCTACCTCCCACTACATTTCCTAACCCCCTAATTACAGCCCATAACCTCTACTACATCCCCTAAACCTCCTCTCCTACTAGAGTCCCTACCTCCCTACTACCAACCACTCTGGCCCCCAACTCCTCAATTACAGGCCCTATCTCCTCGCTACAGCTCTTATAACGCCACTACCAGTGCCCATTCTGAGATAATGGGCACTCGGAAGCTATCTGGCACAAAGATGGCACTATTAAGCTATTTGGGCACAAATATTACATTGATGAGCTATTTTGAGACAAACATGGCACTGATTAGCTATTGTGGGACAAAGAAGGCACTGGGAAGTTGGGCACAAAAATGGTACTAATAAGCTTTTTGGCAGCAAATCTATAGGAAGTGAGAGCAGGTCCGGTGCATGGATTTCTGCCGCTCTAGGCAAAGATCCATTTTGCCGTCCCCTCATGAAGACCACACACTGACAGATGAGCACACTCACTATCAGACACACACTCACTGACATACACACACACACTTACTGACACACATACTCTCTGACAGACGCACACACAGACACTGACAGACAGACATACACTCACTCACTGACCCACGTACTCACTCACTGACAGACACACACAGACACACTCACAGACAGACAGACAGACACACACACACTCACTGACGGTCAAACACTCACACAATTTTATTTTTTGACGCCCATTCAGCCTCCCTACCTCCAACCGTGGAGTCTAGTGTGGGGCAGCTTCTCACTCCTTCCACCCGCTGTTTAGTATACCGGGACCAGATTGACATCATATTCCATCTCCTGCATCACAGAGGGCGCGTGAGGGAGGAGTGAGAAGCTGCAAGAATAAGCTCCCTCATCGCCCACTCTTGCGTGCCTTCTCCTGCCCCCCCCCCCCTGGCATTTTTCGGCAGAGCAGGCACCTGCCATCAAGGTAAGCAGGTGCCTGCTCTGCCATACCGAAGAAACACAGCTTTGGGGCACCCTATGGTGGCCACCTTCTGGGCCCCCCTGTGACAGGGCCCATCTTGGCGCCCTCATCTTCGGGTACCTCGAGGATTGTCCCGGCACTCTTGGGTGGGAGGCTCAAGAGCCACCAGCCCAGCGTTGCGTCCCAAGCCTAATTCGCCTAACGATTGCGCCGGCCCTAAGTGAGAGACATGTTACCTGGTGAAGTTGGGAGGGCACAAAGATGTGGAGCGGTTTCCACAGAAAATGGGTGTGGTTAGAGGTGGTATGTTTGTGAAGGGGAGGAGTTAGCAATGTAGCCACGCCTACCAGGGGGCACCAAAAATATTCTTGCACCTAGGCGTCTGTGACCCTAGGATCGGCCCTCAGTATACACCAGCAGACGTTGATGTATTCCCTAGTACAGACAGAGGTATGCAGCTTTAGCAATCTTTTTTTTTTTTTTTTGTACCTTCAAAGAAAACCTGCAGAAAATAAATACATGCACGTAATATTTTGGAGTATATCTACTAATGTGTTTTTAATAAATAACATCATTGCTGAGAGAGTGGTCCTTTAATTTCTTTCCCCGGCCAGGTGCGGTTCCCCCAACTCCTCTCAGCACCCAGGAGAGCCGTTCTGAAGCAGTTTGAAATTTACATTATGCTCAAGTGATTATGGTGCTCGAAGTGATCTTTTAGTACAAACAGTATATTTACCATCCCAGATACTTAGTTTTATTTTTGTTAATTTATTATCTTTCCCTTTTTTTTAACAGTCGTTTCTAGTTGAAGAAGGAAGCCTTAGCAGGGGAGCAATTCAAATGCTTGGCCATTACATGAACATGAATGGTCAATACTACATCTCTTTCCTTGAATCTATTATAGGAGAGGTTATTTTTAACAACAGCAGGTACAGTAAATTAAAGAATATGGATTTCTCATGTCATAGAAAAGCGGTCCATTATCTACTGATGGATATAAGCTACTTTAGGAAGATCCCGGCTTACTTGAGCACTTTGCATGTACAGTGCCCTCCACTAATATTGACACTCTTGGTAAAAATGAGCTAAGAAGGCTGTGAAAAATGTTCTTTATCGTTTAACTTTTTGACCTTTAGTTCAGAAAAATAAATGATCTCACAACTCCCAAATCCAGTAGCCTTAACCTCTGTCCAATTACTTTTAACCGTAGTGATGTGTAAACATTGACTGTGCAGATTCACATTTTGTTTGTCCCACTTTATGATATCAAAGATGCAATGGAGCTCCAGAACTCTGGTTGAGTACCTCCGTTAAAGATTCCCTCTGGCATGAGAATACAGTGCTAAAGGGATATAGCCGTTTCCCCAAACACCATACGACACTTGGTGAAGGGTAAAACATACACCTGTATTGCCACAAAGAACATATTTATAGTGAAAATCACAACAGGGGGTCATCAACAGTGACAATAGGTTTCCTCCCAGGCGCCCCTGGGTGATAACCCGATCAATTACCGCTAATCTAATTCGCTTCCAGACAAGAGGAAGCCTTAACTGAATATCCCTAAAAATACATTTATACAATAACAAACCCCATGAGCCCTGCTTGACGAAATAGCTCTGTGATCTGTCGAAGAGGGATCCAAGCTATAACAGATTTGAGGTTTCAGTGAGTTGTGCTAAAGTTACTATCCGCTCGGCAGTTTCACACAGTTTCTAAGTTTGTCCCAGGCATGGAGCCTTCATAGCCCATCAGTTTGTAGAAGCCTGATTTGGGCAGGCCAGACTGGGCTTCCTTATCACTCTGCGTTCCTAATAAGCACAGGGTGATTTAGACATAAGGGGGTATTGGAAAGTGGAGAAAGGGAGTTCCCCGTGAATCTGCCATGACCCCCAACCAAACTCAAACCTAAGCCCATGTGACCTTACTCTTAGGGGGCAACAGTGTCACCTACAGAAAAAGAGTAGTTTAAAGAGCAGTTTCATAATTTATTTCATGAATTAGAAAATATTAGACATCAGAAATGCATAGACCAGAAATGAATGGTAAGCAGTGGTTTTGTACTTAATCATAGTGGCTTGTCGAAAACAATGCAGTTGTTTGCTGGTCTCTGATAATTTCAAGCCTACAACAGACATTAAGAAGGGGTCTCTTGAGTGGGTTAAAAGCCCCGGATAGCAGTCTATCCACAAAAAATGTGTATATGTATATGCATCCCTTCTTTCAAATGAAAGTAATGCTGAAAAAACTCAGTAGTTAATGGGTTAAAAAGAACTTCTGCTAAAAACCTATTTATTGATAGTACTTTTGATATAAAATAGAATTTTTTTCTATATCTTCTTTCTCAGATTTGATGAAATCACTGGAGGTTTTGATCAGCTGCCCTTGAAATTGTATCGTCGAATTGGAGATGTCGTTCGTCTGAACTCCACAGTGGTTAAAATCACAAGGAGACAAAAGTCTGTTATCGTACAATACCGTAAAAATAAGTCTTCAGCTCTCACAAGTATAGCTGCTGACTATGCTCTCATCACCTCCACTACCAAAGCCACAAGACGTATAGCCTTCACTCCTCCTCTTAGTAGCAACAAGAATGATGCGCTTGGGTTTCTTCACTATATAAGTGCCACAAAGATTTTGTTAGTTTGCAATGAAGCATTTTGGGAGCAGGATGGAATCTACGGTGGGAGGAGCTCCACCGATCGCCCATCGCGTTACATCTTTTACCCAAGTCACAATTTTACAAGTGGCAAAAGTATCCTATTGGCTTCCTATACGTTGGGAGACGATTCAATGTTCTTTGCCTCTTTAAGTAATGAAGATTGTGTTGACGTTGTTCTTGATGACTTGTCAACTATCCACCAAAGAACAAAAGAAGACATCCGAAGCATATGTCCAAAGGCGTTGATCAAGAAGTGGAGTCTGGACCCTTACTCTATGGGTGCCTTTGCTTTTTTGACTCCCTACCAGTTTGGTGACATGTATGAAACGTTATCAATGCCTGAAGGGAAAATACATTTTGCTGGAGAGTATACATCTTTTCCGCATGGGTGGATTGATACTGCAATTAAAAGTGGTCTGAGAGCAGCAAGAGATATCAACAGAGACGCCAATATGTTCTTCCATTGATAATTCTTAATATTTTTTGTCAGTAATTAGTCCTCTAGGCCAGTCAATCAGATGACTTTTTAATAATTGACTCTGCTTTGATATTAGTACCAGTTTTAAGGGTGTTGAACCAGGAGTGAGCTAAGGGGTTGCATAGGGTACACCCATGCACATCACATTTGAAGACATGTTTTGCAAATGATCTATAGCAGTCCCCATTGAAGTCTATGGAAATTTTTGTAGATAACTCATCTGAAAAGGTTTTCTGACTGATTGGGATAATTTGAAAAGTTCAGCTAAAAATTCCTCCAGGTGAAATGTATAATAATTTTATGACTTTATTTTTATTAATCTTGGGATTGTATAATAAACTTGGTCTTATGCAAATATTCTCTAAACTGGCGACTGTGAGCAGCCGACATGGAAATTGCCCGTTTTGGCCAGAATTGAGCTGAGCTGGAAAAAATGAAAAACAATGAGTTTGAGCATTTTTCCAGTTCATTAAAGTTTGCCTAAAACCAACATGTACTCTTCCATGATAAAAATTTTTTTAAAAAGTGCAGTAATCTTTATATGTAGGGAGAAATGTTGACACTTTTTGATGCTGTACTTTGACTTGTCTTTGCTTACCTGTCTTACTTGCAATGCACAACAAAAATAAAGAATTATGGGGAATTTTTTTTTTTTTGCCTAAAACAGGTTTAATGTCAAGAGAGACCACATGACCAAGGTTTGAGACTCATATACAAAGACTTACAGCTCCCTAATAGTGCACACAGAGTTTGATATGAGAACATCTAGTCTGCCATTGTACTCCTGTGAGGAGAAAAAGGGGAAAGAAAAGATTAGGAAACCAGTTTAGCAATCTGTGATTTGGTCTGGTTACATAACCTCTCCAAAACAACCTCAAAAAAATTGGAAAATCTTTCTAACAATTGTCTGAAACACAATAAGCCATGCACACCGAGTTATGTAATATGTGAGTGAATGGCCAGGAAGGATATCTGAAGGGAGTTATAGTATTCCCTCCTGCACCCAAACCTGTGGCCCCCCAAATCTGAAACAGTTATTTGTTTAAAGAGGAACAAACACTGATTGGTCAGGTGTCTTGGCCAGTTGGCTGCTATATGTGCTCTAGTTTGGAGATGTATTTCTATTGCCCCCTTTGGACCACATGGTGTTAAAGGGCCCCAGCAATCAACGAGGACTTTGATCAGAGAATGGGCCTTAAGCGGCCTCATTTACACTCTAGTGTGAGGGTTGCACGACAGGTGTCCACAAAACAATCCTGTGAGCCCTGATCTGTCTGCACGCTGCTCCTCCACTAGTTCTCCCTCTTCTATATATAGTTGTAGGGTGATTTGCTGAATAGAACCTAGGTTAACCTGATATAATAATCTTTCTTGGTTTTTATGTAAAGTAAATATTCATACGATCTGATTTTTTGTTGTTAAAGGATCACTATAGTGTCAGGAAAACAAACCTGTATTCCTGACACTGTAGTGCCCCAAGGGTGCCCCCACCCTTAAGGTCCCCCTCACATGGTGCTGAAGGAGTTAATACCCCTTCAGTCACTTACCTTAATCCAGCGCCGGGCTCCCTAGGTGCTGGTGACATCTCCTCCCCCACCGACGTCAGCTCCCGAGTGGAATGGAAAGCGCATGCGCGGCAAGTGCCGCGCGCGCATTCAAACAGTCCACAGGAACGCTTTTCTCAATGCTTTCCTATGGACGTTCTGCACGCTGGATGCAAATTTCGCATCCAGCGTCGCAGATGCGCCTCTAGCGGCTGTCAGGAAGACAGCCACTAGAGGCTGGATTAAACCTGCAATGTAAACATAGCAGTTTCTATGAAACTGCTATGTTTACATGTGAAGGGTTAAAACCTGGGAGACCTGGCACCCAGACCACTTAATTGAGCTGAAGTGGTCTGGGTGACTATAGTGTCTGTAACGGACCGTTTTGCACACAAGAGGTTAAAAACCGTTTAGGCAATATTCTCCTTTCAGATGCACAGGCAGCTACTGCAATCACCAATCTCCCGAACTGCAAAGACACGAATTCTCCAACTCCCAAACTGGAACAATACGAATCCTCCAACTCCCGAACAGGAAACACATGAATGCTGTTAAACAGCCGAACAGGAAAAACCATAAGAAGAGTTTACACTCCTGGCAGTCGCACTGTAACAGCATACAATCCAATTCCCCCCAAGAACGAGACAACACTTCGTTTGTAGGGTCAAGCAGAACTAATTTACTGGGGCTACCTGCCAAGCTTTTGTGTAGGTCTCCCACCTGGTGGACACTCCACTAGGGGACCAGATGGAACACTGGGATACAAAGGGTAAAAGGACCAATCACAAGGATACACATTTAAATACTCCCACAATGCATTATAATCCCTCCTCTCTGTCCTGGAGATAATTGGGAAGTAATCCAATTATCTCCAAGGACAGAGGCAAAACTCCATTAGCCACATGTTAGTATAAAGACATAAAATTACACAGTGTTACAATTACTACATAAAACATATACATTCAACATATCCCCAATTAGCTTAGATCTGAGCACACGTTGTTACCGAATGGCACTCAGATCACATACATACAGTTCAATTGCCATGGAGCCAAAGTCTTTCGTTATACGAATGGGCTCCATGACATAGCTATCTGGGGTAACACTGTTCACTCAGTCAATCTACCGAACGCCCAAGCAGGAAGGCACGAACAAGCCATTCTAAAGGGGAACAGAACAGCATTTAAGATGGGGCCATAGTCCAGAGGGAGCAGGCAAGCAACCAGGATTCTCCATGGCCCAGTGGCAAGGTTGGTTCTGCCACAGTGTCCCTTTAAATTTCTTGTATAAAAAATTAAAGAAATTGATTTTACACATCTAATCTGCATTAATATTATTATATTTTACATAGTTGACAGACAGGATAGTATTGTATATTATTTGTATTGCTTTATAGATAAAATGTATGACCTTTTCAAAGATTTGTCCGACTCTAAGAGGTTGATATTATGTAAGATTTATATTATACATATATTTTTGCCTGTTGACTCATGTCAGAGTAAGTTTCTTGGGCTGGTTGACATGGCTGTGAGTGATAGTAGTTTGAGGCTTAGTGTGATGTGGTGCTGTATGGGTCACAGGACAAGTCTTGTGATGAAGAACAATGTTTGTTAGCAGATTTGATAACATGCCCTTATGAATAGTTAGAAAGGGAAATAGAGGAAGAAAATTGGGTTTGGCTGTGGGATATTAGAGTTTGACAATAAGGATTAAACTTTGGATTGTGAGAATTAAGTCAGATACTTCATGGTTACTTAGCAGTTAGGAGATTTATGACTAGGATATTACTAGATGTTTTTCATTGTACAACTCTCATCATTCTCAGCCAGAGACCAGCATTGCATGCAGTCTGATTATCAGCCAGCAGAGGGCAGTGCAATGCACTGTTAGAAATACTGAATATCAATGTATATTGGAAACAAATACATGATGTTGATGGCATATACGGGAAACAAAATTGAATTGTCCTCTGCAGTAACTACCCTAATTTATGATATCAAATAAATATATAATGCTTTGTTGTATAAAGAAAAAAACGTGAACACCCCAGATGGGACTCGAACCCACAATCCCTGGCTTAGGAGGCCAGTGCCTTATCCATTAGGCCACTGGGGCTTGTATAGAATTTATGATACAGTAAGTTCTATTGATAGGAATGTTTACAGACGTGTGAACAATACTTTTTGTATACAATTATGGGAAAGCTAAGAATAATAATAAACAAGGTTTTTGTTTATAAATATAGTAATATATGACAATACCCAGAAATCTTCTTAGGGATACTATGAGTACCTGCTGTAAGATGGTGTAGATGTCAGGATGGCCGAGCGGTCTAAGGCGCTGCGTTCAGGTCGCAGTCTCCTCTGGAGGCGTGGGTTCGAATCCCACTTCTGACAGTACGATTTTTTTTTTTTTGCAGTTCAATGCTTTGCTATTTATTAGCTTCATCCTACAGTTCAAACAAGAATCATACAAATATTTAACCTCTTATTGTCTTCATCTATATGTATAACATTATCTATTCAGCTATAAAATCAATTGCATTCACAGCTTCATGGTTTTTTTTTAACCATTTCGTTGTAATTTTAACTATTTTTTCACCTAATTATTTTAAAATTTCTGGTATTTTTTTTACATGTGCTCACTGTTATTTATCGAATGCTTACTTTTTTTTAATAGTTCTCTTCAGTTAGGGATAGGCAGACATTTCTGTGCTCTGAATGTAGTATATATAATGCCCTCTTCGAAGATATTCCTGTTAGGGGTTTGTGGCGGACTGGGCACCTCCGCCAATCACCCTTCCTAGTGCTCACCGACTACCATAAGGCAAACTGAATTGGGCAAGCCCTATATTGACCCTGTAACTTTTCAAAACACCATAAAGCCTGTACATGGTGATATTGTTATATTCAGGAGACTTTGCTGAACACAAATATGATTGTTGTAAATCAGTAACATTTATCACAATGAAATCACCAGTAAAAGTGCAGTTTTTGTGTAAGAAAATGCAAAAAAAAAATTAAAAAGCTATCTTTAGCCAGCGTATATGACTAAGTGGCTACTACAAAAGACTGGATATGCCCCATGTTGAATACCGTAGGGTTAATTTTCATTCCTGGACTGCTATACGGTCTCAAAGGCAACATAGGCCCAGCAAACCAATCTGGCAAATTTCAATGTGCAAACATGGAAAAGGGGAAAGCCCTAAATTTGATGCCTGTAAGTTTTCAAAAACCCATAAAACCTGTACATTGGGGGCACTATTGTACTCGGGACAGTGGCGCACATACCAGGGTCGCAGGGGTCGCGGCTGCGACCGGGCCCGGCCCACCAGGGGGCCCGGCCGCCCCTGCGACCCGGTATGTAGCCACAGGGCAGCCTCTTCTCCTGGGGGGGCCCAGGAGGTGGCCACCTCAGGCCCCCCCGAGGCTGGCCATGCTGTCACCGGGCAGGTGGCCGGTCGGGCAGGCAGGCGCGCGAGGGAGCACTCAGTACTTCCTCTTCAGCTCCCTCGCGCACCGCACTGATGCCGGAGCCGGAAGATGACGTCATCTTCCGGCGCCGGCATCCCTACGCGGCGCGCGAGGGAGCTGAAGAGGAAGCACACAGGGGAAAGTGCTCCCTCGCG